AACATTTTCTTAAAATAGGTATAGGCTATTTGATACCACGGTACAGCCGTTAGGAGAGAATCACTTACTTTAGTGATTAAACTTTTACTTTAGTGAAACTCAATGATTCCTGGAAGAGCTTTTACATAAAGCAATCTCACATACATACATTCAACAGTTAGCTATCTGTTTTATGTGTAGCGACATTAGGTACACTAGTATAGTATGTAGTGCCAACATGATTTAGTTTTTTTAAATAGTTAATTACTATTTGAAATAATAAATGAACAAATTCATAGGTATTACATACTTTTAAGGGATAAATGTTTTTTTTTTCTTCATATTAATATACGTATTTTCACGCTTCGGTTGTTCATTTTTATCGTGTTTTTATCTTGTTTCCAAATATTAAAGTAAAAAGGGTATTTATACGGCTTATAAATAAACAGAACGCCAATACATATATATAACGGTATAATTAATCATAAAAATAAGAAAAACTCTTTAATATTATTAGTACCTGTATTTTTTTAATTTAATTTTAAAAAATTTCACACTCGCAAATTTTTGTGTTATCAGGACTCGAATAAAGTTAAACATTGAAATGCAAATAAACTCACTAAACCGTCCAGTGTTTCAAATATCGTCGTCCACAAAAGCTTTATCTAATCGTATGCTTACTGCCGCTGTGTAATTACATGGCAAACAATTTTAGTTTAATCCTTACTAACCGTTAGCGCGTATCTGTGGACTAATACGGATTGAAATCGGTCAAGGCCGTTTACCATGCCCAATAGTAGTAACTTTCCGTTAAACTCGCGAATTTTCTTTTATGAATGTTGTATTAAATATTAGAAATAGTATTTTTCTTACACAAGACAACTCGCACTAGGAATCCTGTGTCGCTAGGATTGTGGATCACAAGTTGGGAATTGTTGAACACACAAAGTGTTGCCCAATGTAGGAATCGAACCCACCACACTCAGCGTTAGTAAGAAGCGGCGAGGTGACCGCTTAAACCACTACGCCATCCGTGCAGTCATATTGAAGTGTCTCATCAATTCCCTTTTTAACCGACTTCAAAAACACAAAATTGTATACTCCCGAGGTGGTCCCATAAACACCAAATCAGGATCTGATGATGGAATCCTAAAGAAATTGAGGGTAACCCTCAAATTTTACAGCCCCTACAGCTTTGTTTTAGCTTGTTTCTTTAGCTTTATAGTTATTTGCGTTTAGTAGTCGTTATGTCATTTTGCTGAGCTGATGATGGAAGGATCCTTGACCTTTAGGAATTAGAGGTGACTTAAAAAAAATCTAACTATGTATTGACTTTGTTTTATTCATTCAAGATATTCGTTAGACGTGTTGGGTTGCGGAAATATGCACAAGAGAGTAAAAAATGAGATTACTAAACATTTAGACAAAAAAATGTTTGTTACGCAACTATTTTCATGTTTGTTACCTCAAAACTCTTACCTTTTAAAACCGATTTGAAAATTATTTTATTCTGAAATGCTTCAGAATAAAATAATTTTCAAATCGGTTTCCCCTTTGGTTCTATTTATGTATTTATGGCTTCAATGTGAAGAAAAAATGACATTTCTAGTGGTGTAAACAATATATTTTTGGGTTCAAATGTAAGATCTTACTACCTTATCTAAATAAAGTAGCGGACTTATTATTAAACTATATTTCATATAATCTAAAATACTACAGTTTTGGGAATATAAATTACAGTACGTAGTGTTTTAAATATTGTACTTATCTACTCATTACAAACATATCTTACTCTAAGAATGGTGAAATAAATCCTTTTAAAAAAAAAAATCAAAGATTTCAAACAATATTAACAAAGAGCCCTAAAAATACTTAATTACAGTCTACTAGTCTGTTTGGCACCTATTTCAAACAGACTAGAAGGTATCTATTGCTATTATAATGTTATCTGTTATATTCAGGGCACTTATTTTAGTTTTAGTGTAGTATTTTTAGTGCTCTTTGTAAGTATTGTTTGAAGTTGGTTCAACTATTTTTAAAAGTTTTAATAATAATAGAAGATTGCCGAGATATCAGAATATTACAAGCTTTCCACCGATGTGGTAGAATGCTTTATCCCTTGCCAAAGGACTCCCATTGTGTAGGTGCTAAACTAGTGCATCCCTGAAATGTACAAGTAAGTAAAACCGTACATTCTTCATTGTTACGAATACATAATTTACATAACACTACAATAATTTCTATAACACTACTAGATAAAAATTATCAAAGGCCATTTGGGAGGTACCTAAACTTAAAGCCGAACCCAACCTAGTTTGGGAAAAAGGCTCGGCGGAAGGAACTTAATATATAGGCGCTGTAGACGATCAATGATTCTGTCATCTGACGAAGGGTTTGTGAAATAAAATTGGTTGTGTGCGAAATAAAATGGTATTACGAAATAAAACTATTATTATGATTACAACCACAGAACCCCATGCTCGCCTAACGAGTTTCTTGTCCTATGATTACAAAATTCACAAAACTATTTTTTATCAAAACCGGTAATAGTAATTGTGAAATAGGAACTTTGAACATATCCTCGTATTTCTCACACACGGCCGTTTGAGGGCCTAAGGTCGATCACCGTGATGATCGATTTGACATGAAATAAACTCACACTAGGCTCTCTGATCCCAAACTAGGCAGAGCCTGTACTATGGTAACCAGACTGCTGGTAAACATACTTATATATTTTTAAATAGATACATATTATAGATAAACTACACCCAGACAAAGAACAAATGACCGTGCTCATCACACAGTATTTGTCCTAGGTGGGAAACGAACCCACGACCTCCGGTTTAACAGTCAGGGTCACTAACCACTAGACCAACAGTCCCGTCTGAATTTCCATAAGAAAAAAAAAACGCGTGGGGTACTACGATACGGCGGAACTACGTCTTTTTACGCGGAATGACTGCTATCAGACCTCCACAACCCAAGTACTAGGCGATATCGAAGTTGTGTAGAAAGATTATTGTCGGAGTTTTTAGGGCCCCAACTAACCCGAAAAGGTTCATATGGCAACCGGAACCGACGGCTTAACGTGCTCTCCGAGGCGCGGAGGGGTCTCAATTTTGTTAAAAATTGTCACCCATCTATAGACTGACCTGGCTAGTGTTGCTTAACTTTGCAATGTGTTAATCTACTCGGTTACCATTTAGCGACGAGCCCCTCCTTGCAACCTTAATAACAATTTCATTCCTTAATTCATCGTTTACCGTCTATAGTGCCTGCATATTGAGTACCTACACATACATAAAAATATTGTATAGCTTATAAACATACGAGTATGTAATGAAATTCTTTCTTCGACACATGGGCTATCTAATACGAAAATATTTTTTCTATTCGATTTAGTAGTTCCTGAGATTGGCGCGTTCAACCAAACAAATTAAGTAAAGTGTCTTTATAATAATGTGATGCTGTGAAAGAAAGAAAGAAACATTTATTTGCAGAGAATACAGGTTTTTTTTTTAGGTGAGGTTACCATAACTTATTAATTGTTTGAAGATGATTATTATTTTTCAAATTAATTGTTAAAGTTGTTATATGAGTAAGTCAATAACCGTAAATATTTAGGCTTAGTAATAAGGCGACTTCGTTACAAGCCTTAGATAATTTGGCCCATCATCTTCAATTCCGTTTGCTATTTTGTTACTTGTGTACGCTGATGTTCTTTTTTGAGATATACACTCTAAGGTTTTGCTACTGCCAACTAAGGAGACTTTGATCGTTTTTTTTTTTTAATTTTTCATTTTTCTGGTTAAAAATGATATCACAATGAGTAGACAGAACATTTTACCGAAAACAATTTAATAAATACCAAAAAACTGCAATGTAATTAGTCAAACAGCCGAAGCGCGCGGGGCCTCACCTGCGGCCGCCATTTTGTTTCAGTGTTCGTAGACTGTTTGCACGGAATACATATGTAGTTATTACTTTTGTGCGATACCTACGGGGAATGGCCTTACAGCTTTGACAGCTGATTGCATAAGTTGGTCATTGCAAAAGTTTAATTTTCCGTCAGAAAATTCCAATGACTTTCGGCTCAGAATGATGGTCTGAATACACTATTTCAGTATTCGTAACAACGTCCCTTACAGCATGCATAATTTTCGGGATAAAATTAGTTAGTTTTAAATAAATAAATTGATGATTGATATGAGTAGGTATGTTTAAAAATCTGTTCCAATCGTTATGCTTAGTACTATAAGTTCACGAATACCTCCAAGCCGGTGAGTGACAATGAGGGTTTTCTGAAATGTTCCACTTGAGATGACAGCACTAAGCGTCAGGTCCAACCACCTGTCAAAACACATACACGATTTGTATTTTTCGATCATTTTTTTGGTTTATTCATTCTTAAAAACGTTACAAAAGGAATATTGTTTTCTAAAATGCCACAGTGTTGTGCAGTGCCTCTGTGTGCAAATAAAACTTTTGCGCCTCTCTTTTGAGCTTAATCTTCAGTTTGGCAACCTTTCTCTGGCCGTAATCTATAATAAACTCAATAACACTTCCAAATTCATAGAATTTCACTAAAATATTATACGTTCGGTAAGAATCTGTGCTATCTAAAGTGCTGTGCTAAAGTATCGAAGACCCTCATTGAATTGTATTTTTAAAGTATTTCATTTGAAAGCTATAATGTAGCGGAGTAGATAAATTTAAGACGGCAACATTGTCTATTGTCTGTCAATGTCAGTTGTGAAACGTCAAACTAATCTCTTAGACATAGTTTAAGGTTGTGTTATTAATTAATAATTTATTTCTTAGCCACTTTGTCTATATTTGATAACGATGTGCGTAACTTTTTAATTAATTGCTCGTCGAAAGACATAAACATAAGATTTTTAAGAATAATGAACTTCTTTCTTCAGAATCGAATGTTTTAGGCACATACACATATAGACCATAACTTAGGTATTTCATTGAGTATCTTTAATTTACAGTAACTTATTTTAAATAAACTGAAGATGTCTTCTTTTCACGAAAGACAAAAGTCGCTTTTCAACCAGTTGAAAGATGCAGAAGAACAATGCGGCTTTTCAAAGACAAACAAAAAAACACAAGCAGATGATTATGGTTCAATAGATAGACGCACATACAGAAAGTTGAAACATGAAATGAAACAGTTTAGAGGTAGAGAGAGTATATTTAAGAGGGCTGAGGCGAACATTCGTGAATGCTTACGAGCTAAAACCATTCCAGATCATATTAAAAACCCTAACAAGTGGGTTTATTATTCTTTAGCTGATGTCACACAAGAACAAATGTCAGATGCAACAAACACAGCAACGGCACTAGCACTCATTCGAGAAATGGAAGATAAAGCTACGCAGCCAGAAATGGAGTGTGATTTTGATGAAACAGGTGTTTTCAAAAAGCCTTCTTTCCGAATTTCATCTACAATAAAAAAAGCACCACTAGCTAGTGTAGATGATAAAGTTGTATTTAAAAGCAATAAAGTAGTAATGCCAGAGTATGTCGTGGGTGTTACAAAAAAAGTGGAAAAGAAAAATACTTCTTTGATAAAGAAGGTACCTAAAAAGTGTGAAAAGAATGCTGAATTGAAATTAGACCATCTGTTTGAAGAGGAAGAATAATTGAATGTGATTTATTGTACTTAAATATAAGGTATAGAGTACCATAAACATGTTATTAAAAAAATGTCTTAATTTCCAATTTTTATTTAAATAATTTTTATACATTTATAATAGCAAACAAGCCTAACTTCACCAGATGCTGTCATGTATTGTTGTATATTGATTATATAGGCTCTCTGTAGCCATTTTATTCAATTATAAAATGGCTATGGAGAGCCTATATAATCAAATGAAACTGATTTTTTACCTCCTTTTACTTTACTAGACCTGTATCTACACATACTTTAGATTTCTATGGGCCAAGTTGTGCAGTATTCCAATCTACAAGCTGGCCGAAATAAGTTAAATTGAATAAAAAATTCTAGAAAAATATCCTTTTCATTATAGATGGACCACCCAAGGCAACTAATTGTGATGCATGTCATTTGTAGTCTGGGTGTAATAGATACATCTTTTGTATAAATATTAAAGTATGTGTATCAGTCATCAGTCTGGTTACCATATGGATCTGCTTAGTTTGAAATCACAAGGCTGTGTGTGAGGTTCTTATTATTAATGATTAGAAGTTCCTTTTCAAAACTACGCAATTTCTTTCTCAATTTGAATACAGATAATTTTGTTTCTTAACAACATAGGTCATGTTTTCAATATGAACAACAGGTGGAGCCTCTCACCTGGGCCAGCAACAGAAGTAATCATGTGCATTGATCATTGTCTTTTAACACCGAAGAACTTGCTTGCGCCTGATAGCGGTTAATAAGGCAAATAGGTTAACATTCCTTTTCAGTCAAGAATGTCAGCTTATTTAGGATTATATTGTAGATAATAGGTATGTAAATATATGTATAACCTATAAGGAAGAAATTATGTAGACGGTAAATTATTTAAAAAAATTAATGGTCTTTTAATGTAATTTTAAATAAAATATCTCACATAAATTAAAATTAAATGCTTTATTTACATAAATATATCAACACTGTGATATGATTGCTGAGTCGGACTTTATTTCCATGTTTTCTGCTTGATTATCTGTCTTGTTTTCTGAAAAAGCACTAAGATCACGCATCATGGAGTAGGCATCTTCACCATCAGCATAGTACTTGGGTTCAATTTCCAAAATTTTAAATCCAAGTGAATTAGTGTACAGGTTAAGAGCAGCTCTGTTGCTTTTTCTAACATGCAGTGACACATATTTGGCCTGAAATGAAACCAAATTAATACTATGACTTAATTATTCTTAATTGGTCTCCACACTTAAAATATTAACTCTCACACAGTGCTGCCATCATTTTAGCTAACAATGGCACACTTGACTAAATTGAAAAAAAAAAGTGGTAAATTAAAATATACTACATACATTACGATTTTCTAGTACTAACAGACCCGACCCAGTTATAAGGATTTGTAAACTATATTGTTAACACAAGGCAATGCACAGGAATTCACTGGTTGATCTTAATGTAATATATTTATAACATTACAACCTTTTGCCAGCGACTCCACCTGCGCTGCCCTTCCTCAACAATCAAAGTATCTCCATGCCAAATGTCATTAAAATCAGTTTAGCCGTGAAATCGTAACAGACATACAGAGTCACTTTCGCATTTATAATATTAATAGGGATGTAGGGATTACCTGAAAGCACTCAACCATTGCAAGTGATGCTTGATTCATAAGTTTCTGTGCAAGACCAAGGCGACGGTGTGACCTCTTCACTGCCAATGAGGTAATATGACCATGACGGTTATCTTCCCCATCTTCTTCCATTTTAGCCAGAACATAACCTGCACAGTCGAAATCAGTCATTTGAATGTGATTTCGTATTATTGCACATTGTTTCGTAAGGACAAGACCGGAAAGTCTACTTCTATTTTGGTATACTCTTTAAACTATAATCACATACTAAGTATACTTTACACTGAATACTTTTTACATTTTGAAATGTTTAGGTAGGAATGTTTTCGGTGAACTGAGAGCATCCAAAGGTTCGACTTTACTCCAGCAATAAAAGTGACGATGATACCCTCGAATACGGCGTCGGTTTACTCCTATCTGATGCCGCAAATAAATGCCTTTTACTAACACAAAGTACATTATGAGAATGGATAACGATTTTTTGGAGTTTTGCCAGCATCACGACTTGATAGCCACAGATACCATGCCATACCATCACACAGATACCATCGGTGGTAAATTATTTGTTCACAATAATATCATCATCATCAGCCTATCGCAGTCCACTGCTGGACATAGACCTCTGCCATTGCACGCCACTTAGATCGATTTTGGGCTTCTCGCATCCAGCTCCACAATAATATACGGATGTGATTCGATGGCACAACCAACAACCGACCACCTCGCCATCAGTTCCAAATGGCTCACGATGCACATGGCATCTCATCAACGACCGTAGAGAGCTTCACTTAAAAACACTACATAATAACGACGAGCTACTACTAGCCGACCTTATACAGCCGTTATATACAAAGCGCATACCGTTGTATCCAAAAAAAAATCTACCGCAGCTCGCGAAGAGACAAACGAATGTGGGCTGACGGGATCGCTGATATGGCTCAACTCGCTGCTAACTTCGGCAATCTGAAAGAGCTTTATAAAACGACCAAAACATTGGCAGGGAATAGTAGACCGAAGAAGAAATGTCTAAAGTCTAAAGATGGGCAACTCATTGTGACGTCTAAAGGACAATAATTATCAGGTTGGCGTGAGCACTTTGAAGAGGTTTTCCGCCCCACAACATGGAAAGTGTCTGATGTACCGCAAGTCACACCCACACCACCTAAGCTTCTTGACATCAACGTCGACCCGCCAAAACGCGACGAGGTAGGCAGACCACCCTGTCTTTGAGGGGTGGAAAGGTTATTACTGCGGAAATGCTAAAACTTGACATGTCTTTCAATGTAGCCACTGACACCCTAATCAAAAAAATCTGGATTAATGAGGAGCTTCCGGACGACCGGAACAAAGGGCTTTTGATAACTGTGCCCAAAAAAGGTGACCTAAGTGAAGGTGCAGCAAGTGGAGAGGAATCACTTTGCTCTCAAGACCACCGTTTTTTTTTTTTTGCAAGATCATCCTGGATAGATTGTCGACTGGGGTTGAACCACTTCTTCGCCGGGAACATGCTGGTTTTCGCCTTGACCAAATTAATACTCTGCGCATCATCTTGGAACAAGCATCAGAATGGCAAGGGAGATATTTCTAATCTTTGTTTGAGTTCAAAAAAGCGTTTGATACGCTGAAGCGCACGAGTATATGGTCTCAACTCTACGATATTGGTGTCCCATTGAAGATCATTAACCTAACAAAGGCCATCCACAGAAAATATTCTTGTAGAGTCACTCATGACGGTCTCTTCGCCGGAGACATTGAGTACATGCGGGCGTAGGCTGCCGCGCTCTCGCATCTCCTCTTCCTGGTCGTCCTAGACGGAATTGTGCATTGCGTATGCCATAGCAACCTTTGTCTGCTGAGTCACACACACCGCGACATGCACTTGGCTTGGACAACTTGCACCGAGAGGCTGGCATTACAGGACTCAAAATTAAATTCGAAAGACCAGATGCGATCTGGTATGGAAAATCGCTTACGTCTACGAATTGGTACAGAGGATGTGGAGCGCATTCATAAATTTACGTAATTCGGAAACGTCGTGTCGGAAACTACCGGGGTTACTAAACTACTTAATCGGGGTACCGAAGAAGACATCACTTCGCGTATTCCCAAGGCTCGAGATGCTGATGCCTTCGCACAACTTCGCCCTGTGTGGCAGCCATGGATATTGACTCGAAGAGTTAAGCTTAACTTATTCAGGTCCAACGCCAAATACATATTGCTGTATGGGTGTCCTGCTTAGTTTGCTCCCTTAGTCGGTGTGAAACGTGGAAGGTAACCCAAAAAATCTCGCAGCGGCTCCAGGTCTTCATCAACCATTTACTTCGTCAAATTCACGGCATATATTGGTCCAAGAACATCTCCAACCAACAATTGTTGGAACACTGTCAGGAAACCCCGATCGACCAGCAGATTAAACGCCGAAAATGGGGCCGGGTTGGACATACTCTCCAAAAAGACTTCCCATGATCAGATCCCCAAGCAATCTCTTAAAAAAGTCCAAGGCAAACTTTACTGTTACATTTCAAGTTTCTCAAGTTTCTTGAAAAAAATTGTAAACAGAAAATTTAAAAATCAATTTTTATTTGGAATGCCCTTTTTAAGGTAATGCCACACAAGGTAAGGTAGGTAACAAGGTAAACTAAAACAAAGGTGAGTATGAGTAAAAAGAAAAAAAAGGCCCTAATGGGAAAAAACAAAATCGTTTTGAAATGAGAGTTTGAGTTTTGAGTGAAGTGAATGGCGAAATAATGAGTATAAAATCACTTTATCAGGGTGAGAGAGTCACTGAGTCAATTGTAAATGACAATGCATCACTACACCAAATTACGTGTAACATATACCATCACATGGCAACCAACAGCTGGGCTGACCCCCTACATCAGATGTTTTAAATACAATAATAGAAAATACATCCTCACATTGGTAGTAGACATGTTATAAACCTACCAACAATGTGGCCTTTTTCATCTTCCGCCACATAGCTAAGTTGAGGCCATGAGAGTCCATGATAGAAGTAGTACTTCATTTGATAGTTTTCAGGCAAGCACAGCAGGTTGCAGTGCTGCATGTTCATAAGATCACTGGGTCTTGCACACCGTATATTCATATTGGTTTATCTGTAAAGTACATATTACCTTATTACTTAAGATTTTACTTATTTACCAGGTTAGTAGTAAAGACATGTAAATTATTATATTCTGTTTCATTAATGTATAAACAACATCAATATAATGTTTTTTATACCCATGAAAAATGAACTGTCCAAGGATATAACAAAGTATTTGTGTATAATATATTAAAGATAAGTAAAAAACTTTACTAACCTTATTCCCTTCGAATTTTCTTTGTTTTGCTAGGTTGCCTTGATTCTGATGCTGGGGGACTTTCTTGCATTCCACCAAGAAGCTCACGCACAAAGCGAAACTTTGACAAGCAACACTTCCAAACTATGTACCAACCTGAAAAAAAAGATCACAATAATACACCATTAAAAAACAATAAAACAAAATAAAAGGTACTTCAACATCATGATTAGTTAGTAACTAAAGAAATTACAAGCATATTGGGCTACTTACAAAATACCACAAAGACAAAAACTAAAAAGAAGCTACATACGCAGGTTAAAACACCTAATATCACTTCCTTCATATCTCAGTTATCTCACTAAGCTGAGGTTAATAATAATAAACACGAGGTTAATGCATCCACTTTACCAGACAATCACTATCTCTTTAAATATAAATTATATCAGTCATAACAAGCGTGGCAATTTTTTTCACCCAATGATGTTTTTGATCCGTGATTTTCACAGCGCCATTTTGGTTCATACAAAGTATTTAAATCTACTTTAATAAATCTACAATTCAGGTACGGTTTGTCAGGTCAAAAGTTCGGTTTTACTTCAAAAATATTAAAACTAGTGGTTCATATAAATGTATATACCTTAATTTTCTTCAAATTTCAAAGTAATCCAAGGAACATAACCTCGAATTTCAGACATAAACTATTTCGTTCAGAATTTAAAGTTTTGTATTGATTGGAAAGCAAAGATACGTTACAAATAATTTAACCAAAAGACCACTATTCATACAATATTCTTAAATAAAGAGACTGTTGGTAAATCACTCTCACACAGTTATTAACACTATCCGTATTTCTGTTTTCTACATGTTCTATGCCTACAGACTTCAAGAGCTTCAAGGACTTCAAGAGTATGAAGAGAATTGGTCAGCATACGGTGAAAATGGATGTGCGAGGCCCTCTAACCTTATTATAATGTAAATGTAGCCTACAACTGAAGAGTAACACAACACAACTAGTGCATTGACGCCCTTAAATTTCTTCTCCCTCTATACAGGGGGAAGTAGGGATATGCAAAATTTAAAAAATTTCGATACTTTACCGATACCAGTTTCGTATCAAAAGTGTCGATACCAAAAAAGTATCGTTACAAAAGTATCTAGTACCTGTACGTATAGTATGTATAGTACCTGAACGTATCGAGTATTTTTAAAACATTTATAAAAAACCTCAATGGAGTGTTGTTTGTGTTGCTAAGTTTTTCAAAAAGAAATCATTCCCCATTTCTACTTGTTTTCAGTATTTTGGAACAAATTTTACACGAAGGTGTATCATTTGCATTTTTTTAAATAATTTCACATTCGCTGATTTCTCCTTCTCCGGCATCTTCTTGAGATTGATTTAACTTGAATTGCAAGTACGAGTAATATATTATACGTGTTTGTTTCGAGTAAGATGAACCGAAAGCGAAATAATAATTTCGTACGGTAGGAACCTTTACAACTCACATATTTTGGTGCCTTAGTGTTGCTTCTTGTTATTTCAGGAACATGTCAGAGAAGTACTTTCTAATAATTATAAATAATAAATAGGAACTGAAAGATGCTGTGCAAATAATGCAATAATACCATTAAGGGCTGCAATTTTCAGAAACTGAATAAGCGAAATTGTTTAAAATACAAAAAAAAAACACTACACAGAATATTCAACCCGTAAAGGTCGCATTACAGCCGGCCTAGCGGCATAGGCCACTATATATTTGGATCTGCCATTGCCAATTTTTTTTCGGATCCAATATCCGAAACAAAATTTTTCGGATCCAATCGTCTTTTATTTTTCTTAAGTTAATAATTTATTAGAAATGGGGAGAACGAAAGTATCGATACTTTTTGAAATGTATCATAACAAAAGTATTGGTTCCAAAAGAACTCGGTACCGAAACAAAATTATCGACACCTTGAGATATCGATACTTTTTGCTTATCCCTAGGGAGAGAGGAGTTTGGGCTGCGAAAAGCAACAAAAGAATTGCTTAACACCGGTTTTCTTTTAGGCCGTGGTATGACTCCGGTCCAGCCTGACCATTTGTAAAGAAACATGCCTATCCCACAATAAAAGAAAAAATATTTATTATTCTGTTATTAAATGGTTATGAATAAATACTTGCAGTCCTGATAGAAAATGAATTAAAATGCTCAAAGGCCCGTATCTTAAGTCATAATCGTCCATAAAAAAAAGAACTGGTAAACAAAATATTGTCAAAAAGTCAATATGAAACTAAAAAACTGTATGTACTATCACTGTTTACTATTTAAAAAATAATCGATCCTAACTTATATCAACAAGAATTTGATTTTTAAGTTTATCTAGTGCTTTCTCTTATTATTTTAATATTTTGAAAATTTCAATGACTAGTTCTAATAAAATTTTATTAAAAATACAACATCACAGAAGTTAAGATGGAAGAAGACAGTCAGTTGGAAAAACCAGCGGTGTCTGCTTTTTTGTAAGTAAATATGGGGGTAAGCCTAGATAAAATTAGAGATTTGAGATAATCGTTGACGGTATTACTGGTAAGAAATGTATTTAGCTTCGTCACGTATTTAATGTAGCTACAGGGATTTTTCTTACGTTACAGCAGGCACAGGAGCCCTACTTTCAGTAAGGAAGAAGTTAAAGCACTGCTTAAAATAGTTGAGAAACATAAAGCAATAGTGTTTAATAGATCGACAAGTGCATCTGCCAGTTATGCAAAAGAAACTGCTTGGATAAAAATAGCAAAAATATTTAACAGGCAAGGTTTTACACATTCAAGAAGTGCTGATTGTTTGAAAATAAAATGGGATAACTTGAAGAAAGAGGCTAGAAAACTATCAAAAAATTTGATGGATGACAAGTACAATGATGTTGATGATGTGACTAATCAGATGATAGTTATGATGTGTGATGCTGCAAGCAACACAAATGTTGTTGAGGAACCTATTGAATCTGACGAAGATTTAAATGGTAATAAACGTTTGTCTATATAATTATATCTTTGTAAAAATTTCTATAAACTGTCCGTGTGGTGACGGATTAAGAATATGGAGTGTCACCAACCCTATTCATCCCGTAGGTGTCGTAAGAACCGACTAAGGGAGCAAACTGCAGGACAACAACACTGCATGCTATAGGCCTCTCCTTAGAAAAGATGTTAATGCTTAATGGTAGCATACGGAATTTGATTTCTTTGTTACAGTGGGATAAGCTGTAAGCCACTCCATTTTTTGTATAGTTCAATATATGCCTCAATTGATTGCAATATAATATTCACATTTTCAGAAACTGAACAGGAGAAAGAAATAACAAATGAAAAAGTTTGGAATGGTGATGAAGGAAAGGATTTTGATGATAGTCTAGGTAAGTGCACACATCTCTTCTCTGAGGTTGATTCACTGTCTTGTCCATCTGCTACTGCTAAATCAAATGATCATCAATGAATCAAATGAAGCCAAAGGTCAAGAAAAATAAACAATTTGACATTCTGCACTCTGGCACTGAGTTTTTGTTGAATACCTAATTTGAATAAAAATCTAATAAATTATTCAGGAATAAAGTGTAGAACATTCCACATTTTGAAATCAACTGAATTCACCCCTCAAGTGTCAGTCAATAATCCTAGGTATCCCCAGAGAGTATACAATGACATAAAAACATATTTGTGTATTTTATATGTACTTTTAAATAGCACTATTAATTGTAATTTTATATAAATAAATGTTTAGTTCACAGCTTCATTGTATATATGCACCTGCTATGTCCCTTACTGAACTATCTAAAGCATGATTAGTAGATAATGTCAAGTGGCAGTAGTAGTGTAAAAAATAAAAATATATAAATGTTTTTTTTTTGCAGATGGTGGCGAAAATGAAAGGTAAGTTTTGAATCTTAAGAGGATAATATTAATATTAACTTCAATATATTAATATCATTTTCATTCATCTCACGCACTACCCTCTGATCCCAAACTAGGCAGTCTGTGCTAACTGCCACTGTGAGACTGCCACTGCACAAAAAGGTGTCCACTTGAATATACGGTTACATTTTATTGAAAAAAAGGTTGGGGTGCTTTTCAAGAAATTTCATAATATGATAACTTTATTTTTCCCAATATCTGTTTTTTTTTACAACAATTAAGATCTAGCACCTTAAGCATTTTTACGATAAAATGATTTTTCTTTTGAACTTATAGAAAATTATTTTCTACTTTTTAGTTCGGATAGTTACAAAAGCGTTTTTTTTTACTTTTTTAACAATTTTTTTTAGTAATTAATGATGATTATTTTCTCATTAAGACTAAAAAAGTAACCAAGTATGTCACATATGCTTCAGCACACACCTCTTAGTAAGTAGCAAAAGACACTACCGTATGAAAATCAGAATGATCAGCCAAATTTATCAAATTATTATATTGTCAATCGGTCGTTTAAAAGTGTGCGCATTTTTAACTTAATTCGACGTTATGAAGTGGATTCCGTTACATACATACCAAGCTAATAAAAGCGTGTTAATGATATTTGCAATAATTTTATTTTTATTAGTAAGTATACTATCTCAATCCTGTACAATACTTACACCATAATGTTTTATTTTAACAAATATAAAATTTAAATATGTCAATCTACTATTTAGTGTAGTTGTTTAAAACGTATGTACATATTATGTGTAAAGTTTTTTTTTATATATTCTAATGTAGTTATCTTAATAACATTTATTAAAAAAATATTTTGTTTTATAGGCTTGTGAATCGTTCACTGAATTTTTCACCCAAAGAGTGCAATCTCCTTCTTCAATGTGTTAAAAGAGAAAAAAATATCATATTATCTAAAGATAACTCAGCGAATGCTAATAAAGTTAAGAGCAGAGCTTGGATAAGGGTAATTATATATTTGATGAGATGATTAGAGTAATAATTTTAGGTGTATGTAATAATCTCCTTCTGCGAGCAAGTTATGCTCGCGAAGGAGACGGCGGAGCGGGACCTGGAGAGGTTTAGAACTCTCCCGGCCCGCCAGGCCCGGGAACGGGCTAGGTACCGCAGGCGACTCAGGCGCCGGAGGTCGCAGAACGACCTCCGTCCTCCATAAGCGCAGGCCTGGGGGTGACAGGTGAGGCCATCTGTCACCCTAGCAGAAGCAGGCCGGGGTGGCGGCGAGCGCGTTGCGAAGCGCGCTCGCTTCCAGCGAGCAGAGGGAGGCACCAGGGACTTCCTTTCTAGGGTATACCTGGTTCCCCGGCTATAAGTACCCGAGACGGCGTGCGGTTTTAGTCGGTTCGAGTCCGACATGCCACTCGGTGGTATCCGAGGGGATTTCCGAACGGAAAATAATAATAATTAAGGTGTATGTAATAAGGTTAATTAAGAAATTGGAGAATATCGTGGAACTTTCAAGTTTTCTCGAATATGCGCTTAGTTAGTTCATTTTTATTGTAGACTAGCTGAGACCTGCGGTGTTACCCGCGTTTGTTGCTATAACCGCGGGCAACGCCGCGGGGCGAAGCTAGTCTAAAAAAAGTAGCCTAAGTTACTGCAGATAGCAGATACGGCAGATAGCTCCGTCGAGATCGGTCCAGCCGTTCCAGAGATTACCCAAACAGACAGACAGACTGACAAAATTGTAAAAAATGTGATTTTGGCATATGTACCGTGTAAACATACATATGCATTTAGTAAAAAGCGGTTATTTTAATATTACAAACAGACACTCCAATTTTATTTATTTGTATAGATGTATAGAAGAGGCATGCTTCAGCACATGTACCGTCTCCAACGGAGTGATAACACGGCCTCTCAGAAAACCGATGTTAATTAAATCTTTCATTGCATTTTACCGTCTAAGTAAGATTGCGGAAAGCCCTCTCTGTTATAATGGGGGGATACTCAAAAGGCGGAAAGTACTTATCTGTTGAGCAATCAGCGGGGGTACTAACTCACCATCAGGCGACCTGTCTGCTCTTTGCCCCTATACCATAATAAATGTAGTATGTACACAAGCATGGGATGAGCTTTATTGGTTAGTAAGCACTTTTTGATCGTATTGGGCTCCGATTTCCACATTCAATTCAATTTACCTCGTTCCAGAAGCGCAGAAGCCTCTTGGGACGTACACAGGCTTCTAGGAGCGATTTTGTATCACATAAACCTTAATAAAAAAGGCCGGTTTTTATTCTCTTAAATATAAAGTTTATAATTCATGTTTTTATTTTTATAGATAACGAATTCATATAATAAACTAAGCCCTCAGAAACGGTCGACAAAGGTGTTAAGGACGAAATTTACTAACATGAAGAGATTAGCTAAAAACGTCAGCTTAAAAGATTATTTCAAAGATTTTAATAAGAAACATGAGAAATTTGAAGAAGGCAGCAAACAAAGAGAAGTAAGGTGTTTTATTTATAAATAAAGTAAACACATTCTCCTTTAAAAACTACTTACAAACTTACTGCAGGTTTTTACTTGTAAGCATATACTTACTTAGGGCATATTGAAAGTTTCTGGATTCTCATAAAGAAGACTAGATTTATTGTTTTTCAAAGTATATTCCATGACAATAAATGAATTTTTGCATTTGTTGAAACTACTGTATTATTAACGGAAACGTACACACACACACACACCTATTATGTGCCTATTACATGCGATATTCATCGAGTGCAAAGCTTCCGAACCTTCAGATTGACATGTAAAATGTTTTGCACTTGACTCATTCCAATGCCTAACAAAGCACGAATTTGCTGGCAAGCCATTTTTTTATGTCAGTATCAAAAAGTTGTCGTATGGTGTCAATATTAGAGTCTCTAACCGCAGTCACCGGTTGACCTTCTCGTGCCTTGTCATGGCGATGATACGTCCACGTTTAAATTCTCCAAACCACGAATACACAGAGCTGCGACATGGTGCTTCATCACCAATGGAAGTCTCTGGCAAGTCTCTTGTTGACTTAAGCCACAACGAAAATCTTAAAAAATCATTGAACGAAAATTTTCACGAGTTAAATTCGTTTAGCGACACACAATGTTCGAAAGGACGTCACAATGAAAAAAACAAATGACAGTCTCGCAAATTAACATGTTCCCAATGAGTTCCATTTTTGAATTCCATAATTGTTTTTCATTCTTTTATTGTAAGTGCCCAGATCCAGCGACCCACGCTGTCAGTATGACCCACGTATTAGACGCACACAACATCTCAGGTTTTAATTATTGTGCACGAGATTCAGCCCGCTCAAACTTATAAAGGATGTGTAGTACCTAATAGAATCATCCCTCTGTTATAGAATGAAAAGTTCATTAAAAAAATATACCTGCAGTTCCTGAGGGACACTCGCATTGATTGTAAATTACATTAACTCTAGTGATGGCACAGGCAAAAACTAGTTTATAATAAATCCAAAGTCCCAATTGTCTTCGGTGACTAGTGATGGTAAGAATTAATCAAAAGTACTATTTTAATGTATATTCTGTTTTAGTCTATTAAATCGGAGCCAATTTTTGACCAGTATCGAAGTAGTCTGGACGCAGACGATGTGGACAATCTTAACGAGACTGATTTAGAATTAAATAATCACGTTAGTTCTTCGCTAGACCCATTGCGTAGCGTTCTAAACAGTGATTTTGGTACAGGTAGGTTACTGAAAAAAAATGTTATTATCAACAACCTTTAATACTGCTGGAAGCGGGGCTCCCCTTAGAAAGGAGGTTTTCGTCTACTATACCACACTGGTCAGACGGGTTGGGTATAGGGTTTATTTCAAGTTTCCCTTAGTCGGCTACTACATGGACGAAAAACAAAATACATAATTAAAAATTAGAAATCAATACACAAAGATTACTTTTTAAATGTAAAATTATTTAAAACAGTTAATAACTGCCTATCTTCTATGACGGGCCATTACCAAATGGATCAACTATTTGGTAACAGGCGGTTAGTCCTTAATAGAATACCGCCTTCTCTAAAAACCTCTATCATTTAATTCGCTAAAATGTAACAATGTTTAATAAATTGTATTAGTGACTAGTGGACTGCTGCTTCGAGTCCATGTAACACAATCAAAAATATTTTTTTTTTGTGTTTATTCAAAGGCATTTACATTGTAATCATAACTAATTTTACAGGTGCTATAAACAACGTGGAAAGCAAAGAGATTGTGAAATTAAAAACAGAGCTATTACACTTTAAAATGGAAACAGCTAAGGTATATAAAAGTGTTTGATTAAATTTAACTAATAGTAATGCTCATTTATGGCGCAGTTTATCTTTTTGCAATTTGAAATTTCTATTAAAACTTGTCCATTGGATATTAGTTGATAGTCCAATTTAATAATGTGTATACTCCTGTCAACTTTTTTGTAACTAGTAGTTTGTCTTACAGTTACAAAGAAAACGAATAGAAGACTTAATACAAGCCGATGCAGTAAATCGCGAAGCTAAAGCAACAGAGACATCGCTAAGACTTCGAGCTGCGAGGTTAGAAGCAGTTGCTGCAGAAATGAAACTACCTCCAACGCATCCCGCTTTGTCATATACCGCGGAAGAGGCGCGTGCGCAACATTACATACACCAATACCATGCTAGTTGAAAGAAAATATACGGACATAGTATTAAAATGCCCAACGGAAGAAAACTTAAACGAATAATCAGTAATACGTAGATAACGAATGGGGACTAGGATTGATGCTATCTCTCCCTGTTATCTTAATTGATTCTCTGTTTACGAATTGGAAACATGTTTAACTACTCGTTTGTAAAACGTTCAACAACAATTGAAACAGTTTTGTCAGTAGTGAAATAAATCTTGTAATGTATTAAATCTACCCAACTTTGTTATGACTCAAGAGAATGAAACAAAAAGTCGGATCAAAATTCTGATCCTTTGTAAGTCCTGACAGAAAGGTGCAGGCAAATAATTGAGTACCTATATCTTTCTGGTCACTACCTTTCTAACTTGAAAGAATAAAAACGAGAGGAAGTCCCGGGCAGGCAGAGATTCATCTTGCTTGAAGTTTGGTAACCACGGATCCATGGTATCTTGTATTGAGATTTTATTCATTCATAATTTGATACTAATCATATTAATGGTTAAGTATAAAAAAAGAAAGTGTTAGATACGAAAATTTTGTATATTTACTTGATTGCGTTTTACAAGATGATTAAATTATAATTCAATATTAATATTATTAATATGCATTTGTACAATTTCATCTATACCTAACTAGACTACAACACCTAAAATATATTACACATCGCTAATATACAACATGCTTTTTACATTGATATCATACCCTACATCTATCTGCTAATGTCATATGTATACAATACAACATGTAGGTACGTACATATAGTAACTATTGCAGTAGTTAATTTAAGTAGACAAGCCACAATTAGGCATATAAAGGTGAGCATCAACATAATTTAGTTAGTTTAATTGAGCACAATGCTTTATTAAATCAGTCACAACGGCCATGTTAAAAGAAAACATTTAGAAATTATTACAATTTTATCCATGTACTTATATACTGTATAGTTCTTATACTTGAAGAAAGTTTAAATATGTGCAGTGTCCGGGCTTTTTGAACCTATTTAAAATTCAAAGAGACGCCTAACGCCGATGTTCAAAGTACACACACGTATACAATCTTAAACATTGTTAATTTCAAGAACTTCAAAGTACTTTAGATATCAAACATCTTTAACTTGAGCCATTTAAGGAACATTCGAATAACATGTTACTCGTTTATATTGATGGACTATTGTCACTGTTAAATTCATTTAAGCTTCTTATGGAAAGTACCATTACACCTATAACAGACATAGGCAGGATATGGCCTATTCTATTCCATATATCAATTAACAACGCTTCAGGCCAGATCACTAAATATAGCCAAAAGAAGTAATCGTTAAGTCTATTAAATTTAAATAACCACAGAGAACAAGAATTTATGCAACCGTACCACAATGTTTTATTCCTAGCACAAATACATACATATTTAAGTAATCTCTTTAACCAACTTGATTGCATTCGTGTGATTTGAGTCAAACAAAATAAATTCACATAACTAATAATGATACATTTTGATCAATCAAACGTCCAACGGCATATAAATAAAAATAATGAAAACATCATATATTTTACTAAGTCGTTCTATGAATAATTACGATACTGATGCAAAATTGTATAAAATTGGACGGACAACTCAACTCACTACGGCAAAATGAGCATCCAGCAATTTTGAATCTGCTAGTCAGCGCCAAATAACTTTAACAAATAAAAAGACCTAATAGCAGCCTTTGATTTATAGTATATGTATAAATACTAACATTTAAATAGAAACTCTGTTTTTTATTCGTCATGTAGGTAAGTATTGTACGTCCTATTTCGATAGCTTCTTTGGTTTTGCTACACTCAAAAGGGATGCCACAGGGGCGTCTACTGGGTACGAGTCTCCCGGTACTGCGAGGATCTCGGACGTGGTGGACGCCATGGCCTAGCGCATCTAAACACTCGTCCAGCGAGTGAAGGCACCGATTATAAATCCTGATAATCGATCCAAGCCTTTTATATCTGAAGGGCAGCTAATGATGCAGTGGTAGAATTGAGTGGTGTGAGCGGGGTAAGCGGTGTGGTAGGAATAGAAGGTGGTACTGCTGTGGCAGGCGTTAGCGGCGTATCTGGTGGAGGCGGTGGGTCGGCTGCTCGAACTAAAACTCTTCGAAGCTCTTGAGCACGAGTAGCAAGTGCTCGCGCAGCTTCGGCCATGTCTCCGACAGCACTGGCACAAGGAAACAGTTGCGCTGCAGCTTTCGTCTTGGCTACGGTCGTAGCCAACGCATCTGATAGTGCATCCGAACATCTCAGCGCTTGGGTTTTTAGACCTGCATGTTGGGCGCTCCTGTGACAAGGTGAAAAGATAGTTTGGTTGAATACTCATCTTTGAAGTAAAAGGAATAATGATTAATGACAGGTAAAAATGTTTAAGCTTTGAATATTATAATACGCCATAGATAGGGTTTATAAAATTAACGATAAATAGATACTGATAAAAATGATCGCTACTTGAATATAATTAAGATCATGTTTTACCTGTGTACTGTGTCGCCCACATGAACAATCCTGTGAGCACTGAGCACGACGAACTTCCCGTGTGCAAGGAATACATCAGGTGGTTGTCCCATTTCTATAGTTCTGAGGAAGGCTTCTACCGCTGTAGCGAGGTGCGCGCCATACGTGGCGGCCTGAGCTGCATAGAAAGCTGCTAGTTGCCTATCGTCTGCTGGCAAACGAGTTGCTGCAGCTACTGCACTGACCTACAATAAAAATACATTTTTAAGGCATTTGAAAGGCATAAAATGTTGATTTTTGTGTTTGGTACGGTTTTAACGATACATATATTCGTATAATATACTAGGTATTAATTTTGTTTTAACAGAAGTATTTAGCCTGATAAAAAATAAGATATATAAACACTTTCTTAAACAACTTTTAAAAAGAGAAAAAAACACTACAAGTCTAGGTAAGATGTTTAATGTCTTACCTCGCCAGCATGATCAGCGTCTCGAACGAGAGCATCGAAGGAAGCCCTTAGTTTGTCAGGTAGTGCAGCGCGAATCTCTGCATTTCGCCGGCCAACTGCTGTCCGCGATTCTAGCCTGACGTAGTCATATTCTTCAGTCCACTCATGTTCGGGCACTGGGACTGCTGGTGACCGTCTATAAATGAAATAAAAATTTATTTTGTTAATTTTATTGTTGTTCTCTAATCCAAAGAAAGGACAAATACCTAAGACTAATTAAAGAACTAGTTCGTGGGCTAGCTAAAAGATCTAAGTGTAAAAGCAGTTGTTTCCTTCTTTTGGGGGCAGTGCTTTAAAACAGGTAGGTTAAATCAGCAGTTTAGTCACCAAGAGACGTTTCTTTACACTGCCTTTCTTCTTCTGGACATTACGAACTGGATTAAAACTATTTCTATTGTCTACTTATTTGTTGCGATAATTTAATAACTAAATTTTTACTAGCCGTTCTGTATAAGAGGTCATCTCACCTAAAAAGCAATGATGCATTTCCATTAATAAATGAGGCAGCTCTTCTGACATCCTCAGTGAGTGACCTCGCGCACGACACGAGCTGGTCTAATGCATCTTCGGTGCCGTCTGTCGGTTCTCTATCTCTTTCCAATCGTTCCGGTGCCCAATCGCCCGCGTCTAAAGCACTGGTCGCTTCGTGCGTGATCCGCTCTGCGTCTTTCAGTGCTTTTACCAGTGGTCGTAGTTTTACTGCGATACCTGAAAAAACGGACGATGTTAGTTACCTACGTGGAAGTGACGTAAAAGGATAAATTGTATTAGTAGGTAGTCCTTTTTCCAAAGACAAAACAAGTTTATCCTAGTCTTTTTTTTATTGCAACAATAAACAACAAATTGAACAATTTACTGCAACTTTTAAGTTTGTTGTTTATGTAACTATGTAAAGGAAACTTACCTTTATCTTGTGCATCGTGTGCGTTAGCGAGCGTGGCATCTGCAAAGACCGCAAGGTCGTGTAATGCAGCGCGAAGTCGGGCCCCGGCTACACGTACGTCCAGCACACGCCCGCGAAGCGCGCCGCGCCGTCGCCAGCCCGGCGACACGTGGGATAGCAGCCGGGACACGGCAGCAGACGCCTCCTCCTGAAAATTACACCTATGTTAAAGCAATTTCGCCCTCAGTTCTACCACTAAGTAATCCTTTTTAACTTTTTTACTAGTTTTTAAACCCCATGAGATATACACCTCATATACCCCACCTGACGATCTCTAGTCAAGTTTCACAAAACAATATACTACTTTCGTTCCGAAGTATGCCAACCAACCTGTAATCTATCGAGTGCCTCTAGGGCAGCGTCGCAAGGAAGAGGCAGCGCTCGTGATCTGGGAACGTCGTATGTGCTAGACGCAGAGGCAGCGGAGTGAACTGAACTGCCAGAGTTGGCCGAAGCGCTTGAAGTTGCAGACGCTAGCGACCCGGTTCCGCTACATGCAGAGTCTGCGCTCGCTGGCCGCGGAGCCCGAGGTGCATCATACCAGTCCGCGAGAGGTCGAGGGCAGTCGTACATTCCTAAACGCTGAACCGGCATCGGTGCGCGTGGAACATCGTAATGTGAACACTCCTCGATCTAAAGTATATAAAAACGTATTACATTCGATCCTCTAGTAAATGATTAGGTGATTGTGTATAGAACTCCTCTCAGTTATGGAGTATAGAATCGATCCCTACTTTGGACAAGTATTACGCTAATTCATAGGCAGTTGTAGTAAAACTGTGTTGACGTTATACAATGAATAACAGTAGCTTTTATCTAGATAGGGAGGACTTTAAAAATATAGCTAATTTATCGAGCTAAATGTAATGAACAGAAAACAGAATAAAAATAGAGTTTTAGAGCTCACTTTTGTGAAAGCGGGCGACTGTTGTGTAGGTAAAGGTTGATGAGCGACTGGCGGAGGGGGCCGCGCTCGCCTTCTTTGCATTGCATTGCTTGCGTCGAATACGCCAGCCACAATTCTCAATCTGTTGCCGGGACATATTCCCTGAAAATAACATAAATTTCTTTAGAAACCTCTTTGAATAACAACAGATGACTCGCTGAGAACAAACAAGCAAACGTGATACGTGCAAGTCGCGTCGTAGGTATAACTTTAGTTCGCGTAAGGAAAAAGGTATAATCGTCATAATAATATGCCTACATAATGATATAAGCTCTTGAATGAACTGTGTCATATTCAATGACGGTATAGTAAACAATAGAAATAATAACCTTAGGAACGAGAAAATGCCATTAATTACTATCATTGTGGTATGTACTTGTCACACCTTTCTTCATTACCACGTGTGGGTATCTGTGGGACTGAATACGATAAAGGTGAGAAACTTTCTGAGTTACTTTCGTTGTCCAGACTCATTTAAACTTATGCCTGGGTCCCGTTAGTTTAACGACAACAGAATGGCACATTAAATCATTTCTGGGTATCAAAATATTGGAGACATAATGAGCCCTGAGTTAGTAATGTGTAGTAATTAAATACATATTGTTAAGGGTTATAACTCATTTTTATTAAAAGAAGTTCTTATACTTTAGAAAATGACAGTGTTGCCTATAGATCTACCACCAAATCTTAAACCAATCTATCTCGTAACAAGCTACTTTAGTTATTAAATTACCTGTCGTCCTCTTAGTGAACAAAGCCACCAGCCTTCACTCCCCCCAGTGTTCTGCTCCAGCACGGTCAGCAAGTCGCCGCGACGGAACGCCAACTCGTCCGGCGACTCAGCGATATTGTCGTATAACGCACGCGCCATACACTGTAACAAATATCAACGATACGTCATTTATATTTTTTTCCCCTGAAGAATCATAGTTCAAAGTTCAATTTTTGTAATATTATACGTCACTGGAAAACTCTAGGTGACGTATCAAAAGTTAAGCTGTTCCGTCATTAATATACCTAAATGTTAGTTAGGATAAATTTGAATTGCTGAGTTTCAGTCTGAGTAGTTTGTTTCATCTTAAATATAATCGAATATATCGTAAAAAGTCACGCCTTGGGCGTAAAGAACATTTCAAATTATTATAATACCTTGACGGTATTACCTTACATTTGTCATTAATCGATTAAACTATCTTTTAGTGCTGTTTTTGTGCATAACCTAAGAAGCCCAGACCTAGGACCTCATACTGAAAAAAATATGTACCTACTTTAATACAAAATGCAATCTCCATATAAAAGGAACTTTTATTATATTATATAACAGAAATGCTACTCTATCATATTTACACAAATATTATAACTACTACCCTCCTCGTACAACACAACAGCCAACCAGACAACAATTGTTAGGTGAAAACATTGTGATGAACATTTAAGAACAGATTATCTGACGTTACGAAATCTATTAACCTGATAAGGCCCCAAATTTAATTATTAAGTTAAGCAGCCAAGCTTCCATTGCCCTTCATAATTAACGTATTAGCATTCACCAGCGTCGCCCACATACGTTCACCGCATGTGGTGCGCCGGCGCAGCTGCAGACTGCAGAAACGGGCGCGTCCTAAATCAGCCGATAATGATGGATTGCATTGTGCAACGAGTTGTGGGTGCGTGTTGAGGCAGGCCATGTCCGTTTCCGATCAACGCAATCATTTATGCAACCGATAAGAGGGAGTCTGACAATGGAACGGGCGACATGTTATTGTGTCCGTATCTGAACTTTTTCGCGCCTAAGTATTGATATTAGTATTATTAATCTGCACGAGTTCAACATCTTACAGTTAGTTAAATATGTTAGAATCATTTTAAATTGCGTATGACATTATAAGTAATCAGGTTAAATTAAGATATTTTTATAAACAAAAGTTCTGAATTTGAAATGTATTTTTTCTTTATAGCATTTGTTAAAATTTGTACAACCAAACAAGTAAAGTTGATGTTATTTTCAATTTATAAGAAATAATATAACTAAAGACATTTGTATGAAAAAGGGGTCTTTATTATGAGTACCATTTTATATTTAGTTTTATGACAAAACTATCGCAAATTCCTCAACAAAAACATTAAAATAAATTGTGATGAAATTAAAAAATATGTAGAATATTTTTTATTTTTATTTTCTATTTACTATAAAAATTAATAAAAAAAAATCTTATAAACAGTTTTAAAGCCCCATGCGCACCGTTTGCAATCAATAAGTAATAACAACTTTTTTTAAATTAAAACTTCTAATAAACTTAAAAAGAAACAAAAGTACTATATTTATTTACCGGATTAGTCCAAATGGCTGTAATCTTTCTAGCAACAATATATCTCTTACAGTTACACATTTTCAAAACACGTCACTGTTCTACAGGCCAGAAAATATAACACTTTTATGAATAAACGGAACGTTTTGCACATGTAATCAGTCCGATGAGTGTGAACGTAATGATCACATTTATGCATATTGGAATCAAAACAAGTTAAATATAAACATTCAATTAAAGTTATTAGAACTGTTTGTGTGACGCCTTAGTCAGACGTCTCGCCATCGCCATCGTCATTATGATACATTGAACCACAGAATACCTTATCTTTGTCTAAATTTTCTATACGTAGGATTCCATTAATATTTCTTAGTTAAACAATATGAATCATTATTACTGCTTAAGAACTATTGATATTAATTTTTAATTGATGACGAGATTTACAGTTTTTTAATGACACTTAAGTTGTATTGTTGTATAAGACTTGTATTTCTTTTATCTTTTCTTACGCATATTTCGGATATTTCGGAATACGTACAAAAGTTACACTGTGTCTCATTTACTTATTATTCCTACTAAAGATCATTAGAAATTACGCTTAAAATTGTAGGACCTTAAATTTTAGAGTAAAGGACTGGGATGCTCTTTTAGCTATAAGAAGTTAGTTCCTAAAAGTCCGAAAACTGTTATAAGCCACTGTTGTTATACCTCTGGGTAGGACAACTTAAATATATTTATAGTCAGATACTAAAGGCTTTAAAATAATTTTCACTTTTTATAGCAACATTTTCTTCTTATCAGTTAATCTTAATAATTTTGATATTTTGTCGTTGATTCAGTCTAATGGTGGTAGATATCCGCTTTAAAGTTAATAACTACTCTTAACATTCTAACTTTATGTGAGATTTTTTTTTAAATATCTTGGTGGGAGAACATCTTGCAGTGCAGACACAATTTATTATGACTTACTTTCCTTTCGAAAGACCGCTGTATGCTATCTTTCAGGTATTTGAACGTCAAGAATGTGAGACTTACCAAAACTTATTCATAAGACTAAGAACAATTTTTTAAGGAGCAGAATAAAAAAATATATTTTATTTTAAAGTTTAGGAATTTTATGTCAATTATATTTTTTTCATTATTGTTCATATGTCATTTCGCTAACTATAACTGATACTTTTGTAAATCTCAGTTTAGCAAAGAATTAATTAAGCGATGACTTGAGGCATGAGAACTTAAATGAATTTAAAATTAGGCCGCTTTTGCGCAAAAAAAAAAAAACAAATTGTCGCAGCGGATTCTCCGTCTGATCAAATTCCATTGTATAAGTGAAACGTTTCCTAGGACTTTCTCAACGTCTTTTATTTCATTAATGAACACTATTGGTGAATTGAATGACAAAGATGCTATCTAACCGGATGTACGTGAATCATGATCATCGTTTCTCAGAGTACCTTTAGCTGAGCGGCGCCTAGTGTAGGCTTTAAATGTGTATGTTGTCTGCGTGTGCTAAACTGACGAGGTCGATGAGGTCATTGGCTTGACCTTTTAATACGAGGATCCTGAGGCAATAAATATAAAGCCCAATAATAAATATATTTTCCTTAACCACATGCCTAAGTCAGAAAAGTAACGGTAAGTTAATTGAATTCTAATAGCTAGATATTTCATTTCCGCCGCTTATCAAAGGTGTCGCGGACGTATCTACTTTACTTCTTTATTGTAGATTCCGAATTGTGAATATTTTTGTCAGTTTACATTAAATAAAGACTAGATACTACATTTATGTTCAGCGACGAATGCGTCTTTTAAGAAAACAAATGTTACTTTCTGCAATCAGTGCTAAACTATTGAAAACTTTGTCATTTTTCTGCACTCTTTCAGAGCTGATGAATGTAATTTTTGTTTTAAATTTTAGCAAATATCATTTACACAAGCTAGGTATTTCTGTAATTACACATTTATGAAAATTTATTACACTTCAATGAATTTCTGACAATACTGGTGTTTTATTTTAACTTAAAAGGTCAAAACGCCTACACATTGGCAAGATTGGCAAGATTGGCGTTGTTAGGCTTACATCGTGATGTGAAAAAGCAGTAAGAAATAATCTTCAATATATTCTATTCCACTATTAAGAAAATAGGTATAAAGCAGTAAGTATAATAAAATACTTATAACAGTGCCACAATAAAACCGCAAAATGACACAATGACTAAAATACAAGATGTTGTTTGTGGTAAACATGTCGCCCTATGAAGTGGAATTAACTAGTTACAATTCTCTTCAATGAAAACAAGCAAATTGATAGTACAACACTTTTAAATAACATTGTGAATCACAGACAACACACAATTGTTTTCTTCATAGAGGTCATTTCCACTGAAACATATAGATATATCCTTATAGCTTTTAGAAACGTACCCCATAAAATGCTCACTGCAGATCTATGAAGGTAACTTAACTAAAACGTTTGTTCACTGACTTGATACCAAAAGAGCACGTGGACAAATAATGGCAAATCAACTGTATAGATGTTCGGTCGAGTAGACCTCACCATATGATATTGGGTTGAAAATCAATGAAAACCGGCAGGGGACTGAATGGCGGGGCGGCGACCTAGGAAGGCCGGCTCACTCCCGTAGTACGCGAGGGGATATCACGCATGCGCCACATTATTTAAAAAATGAATTGCTATAGGATAAGAAGCTATTTTGTTATAGGTACGCTACTCTTTTAATAACTTTAAATTTTACCAATATTCGAAACAATTCGAAAACAGCAAGATAAATGTGTGTAGGTATTTTAAAATTTCAATAAATGAAATAAATAGAGATAATAATACAGATACATAAGAAAATATTCTTGGTGGTTACGCAGAGAATTATTGCAAAAAAAGTGGTTAAATTAATTTAGATCTTTTTCTTAGGTACAGCATTGGTAGCAATTATTTAACCTACCTTGTTGGTTTGTTTTACGAAACAAATTTACTTGATGATACGATTATATATGCATCTCAAAAATGTTTGGTATCCGTCCTTTGACAAAAGAAGGAATATTGCTGAAGGCGCTTAAAATAATTTTACTTATTACATTGTGGCAACGGTTAATGTTGTCTGTATTATACTAATGTATTATATTTTACATGTCAAGACGGAACATTTGTGTGACATGGGTTGACGTCATTGGTCATCTTTTGTACTATTTTGTACGCATTAGTTGTCAAACATACTTACATAAACAACGGAGGTCTAAAAATATTTTCTTTTATTTTAAAATTTTGAAATGCACCTAATGTTTGATTCCTATCTGAAATCACAATCAAAGGAGTGAAAAAATTAGGTGGTAACATTTCAAAAGGACCGAAGCTAATGTATAACAATTTTTCCTTCATCGGCTCAGAACATGACAGCAACAGTAAATATATAGATCAGGAAGCAAGTTGTCCACTTAAAATAGTCTTGTGCCGATGCCTACTGCGTTAATCTCGCATCATTATATCGCCTACGTCTGGCGCCCGCCTGTCGTCTAAACAACTTTTTATTTTATTTTAATTAAGTTAAAATATTTCAATACGGTCAATGATAACTTATTAACCGAACTGAAACTACAAACAACAGGACTCCAAACAAAAAAATACTCATATTGTCATCGGTCACCAGTGTCAAGTGATATAAACATTAAACAAAGGCACAGGCCAACACCACAGTAGTCTATAGTTTCCTGCCTAACCTAGTCTTGTTAACCTAACCTAATCAAAATACGCCAGATTATATCTTTCTTAGCACTGTTCCATTTTTATAAACTTAAAAAAAATATGTATGTATAGGCAGGAGTACTACACGTGTAATAGAAAAGAAACGTTTAAATGGGATAGACCTATCGCTGAATAATAATATAAATTAACAAACATCATCATCACACATCAACAGCCTTTAATAGTCCACTGCTGGACATAGGCCTCTCCTTAGAAAGAAGGGTTTGGCCTACTAACAAACATGGCATGCTGCAATTAATTGAGAGGTCATTTTCGAACCAGATTACTATTTACGTGACGTAAATAGTAATCTGGTTCCTGCACTATGCAATTGAAATCGCTGCAGTTACGTACTTAAGGAGCATCAGATGTATTAATTCAATGTTTTTATCTGCCAAAGGCGAACGGTTTAATAGATAATATACTAAAAGTTCTATTTTTTTCAATTTTATTTGATATTTTAAAATACATTCTTAATAATGTTATGGTGTGACATTCTTTTATTTATTATTTATGACAGTCCACAAGCTATAGTTCACAACAAAGAGATTTCATGACGGCCACCTGGCCAACCCGCAACGGATGGGAATGGGTGCTGTTCAACCCTGTAAAAAGGTGTAGA